ATATAAACCAATGAAATATAAATGCCTGGTACAAAAGGCAACAAAGTCCCCAGTTGCCACCACTGAATAAAAAGGTTGACGGGAGTTTCCATCTTTACCAATGGAATTTCCAGTAGATGCAGGCAGAGAATAGTCCTCAGAGCCTGTAATTTGGTTTGCTCCCATCACCACTGGTGCTTTTAAAAGAAAACAGCTGCTGCTTTATTTTTTATTTTATTTTTAAACTGTGGCAGCAAGAAAGTTAAAGGAATGATCCCTTGAAATCTATTTTGACAGAGGCCAGCATTTTAAAATGAGAAGAGAGAGCCCAGTTTTTAGTTTCTTGGTCTCTAGGGAAATTTTCAAGGACATCAGGAGATCATTGCAAAAGGATTCCTGGGAAGTCATTAGGGTGGGTTTTTTTCAAGGGGAGGACAGTGCAACATGGAAACAGCAAGCTATGGAATTAGCCAGGTTACAATAATGACTACTCTGGATCAGACGCTATTTGCACTATTCTAACCCTTAGTTTGTGTTTTTTTTCTGACAAGGCATATGAACCTGCTTAACTCTGGGCAACGTACATTGCCAAACCTACAAATCAGTGGGATTTCCCAGGGTGTGAAATGACTTTGGCTGCTTTTTCTCTGCCCTGTACCCCTAAACTCAAGGAGATTTCTCAAGGTAGCAATGCAACTTTACATGAACAAGTGTCAAAATCTGGCCATAGACTTTAAAAGACCTATCAAGCATCTTGGTTTATTATATGTTATTATTAATCTTCCATTTACTTCTCCAGAGGTATTTAATGTCATTTCTACCTTTTATCCAACCTGTTTCTTTTATATACTGACCTTGGTAATATTTAATCCAGCACTTAATGGTAAAAAGTCCACCCCAGCATGATTCTCTGCTGCTGTTAACTATGGCTGTTAGGTATCAGTGCAAAGTGAGCATAAACACTCGTGGTTTTATGAAATAATATTTGAAAAGTTGCACTTTGCAGGTGCAAAGGACTACAGGAGATGATGGGAAATCAATGCAGTGCTTGAGAAAGCAAGTATTCCACCTTAGAGCTATCAGCAGCAGTGACCTTTCCTGGCTAACACAAATATGTGACAGAACCTGGCACCCTGCTCGTCTTTCAGAGCAAAATGTCATGGGTCCCAGTTTTGACAAGGATGTTTCAGATAAGGTGGTAGGAAAAATTTTTTTTGAGGGTTTCTAGACCTTGAAGGGATTGCTTGGCAAGATCTTAGGTGTCCCTCGCAGGGAGATTTCCAGAACCAGCTGCACACCCATCTGCTCAAGCAGGGCATGGGCTGGGTCTTTGCAAGGTCCCTCTCAGCTAGCACATTACAGTGATGCCATAAAATTTAAAACAAAACATTGAGTATCAAGATATACTGGGGCCCATGGAAATCCCAGAGGTAGGACAATGTCTAACGCAGTTCTTAGGAAACAGAGAAGAGATTACCCATGGTCATCTCTGGGAGCAGCTCCCCAGCTGCTGGTCTCTGAGGGAAGCTTGTACTGCACCAGTGTCATTCCCTACATCTCTGCCCAAGCGTGTACTCCCTTGGTGAACCCCGGGGCTGCGGTAGCACCATCAGTGCACCGGTGCTGGTCCACCAGCAGATGGGAGTCTCACTGGTATGAGGCCGGGGTAAACTGCTTCTGTGGCATCCAGGCTCCAGAATTAAACTGGGTGAAAAATCAAAACATCCCCTAGAAAGGGTCTTTTTCACAGTTGCTGGACAACCAGAACTCGGGGAGGAGTTCAACAGATTCCTCAGTTTTCGGCTGAAACTGGGCGCTGCTTAATTTCTATTCAACATGGTCATCAGACCAAAGTTTGGGGTTAATCTCACTCAGTGGCACCAAGGTCCTGGGAAAAAGCAAGGCATGTGGGAGAAACCTGCTGAGAAGACAGTAACGAGCACTACTAATGAGCAGGGAGGGAATCAAGCATGCACTGCATCAAAGGCACAGCATCTTTCTGCAGGCAAACAGCATTCCCTCTTCAGCTCCAAGTCAGCTGCAGTTCAGGCCTCAGCAGTAATAAGTAATTTTCTTCTGCACCATGTTAATAGTACCTTTTGACTGTTACTTTTACTTTTGGTTATCAGTATTGCTCTTACAGTCATAATTAGCTCCCCCCATGGTCTGAACTCCATGGTGTGAGGCAGTGCAGATCAGGAGCAGGGTGACCCTTCCATGGGGATTTCGCAGCCTGCCAAGGAAGGAGCCATTGCCATTTCTCAGTTCTCAGTTCTCCCAATTAACCTGGTAAAGTGGCAGATTAACAGAGCCGGGATCAGTGTTTGTCCACATTCATTTCACCTGTGTTGCTGAGCAGTTGTATTTTCACGTGTGCTTTGTGCATCTGTTCCCTAGCCACCAGTGGTGCTGGGGTGGGAGAAAGGAGCTTCTCCAGTACAGACAGAATTTGATGATTCCCTTGAAGATAGCTTGGGATAATAATTTGAGACTCTGAGAACTTAATCTTCTGCCCTTCTACACATCTGGGGTCACCTTTCTTCTCAGGTAAGGGCCAGCCACTGTTGTCTGCCTTAAAGGGCTGGAGTTGCTCTTTCTTTTCCATATGATGGGGCTGCAGGGGGAGGGGGATGGTATGAGACAGCAGCATGTGTGACCAGGGAGCTTTATCAGACACACAGAAATAGGCAATAAAAAAAGTCCTGACCTCCCAGCAGCTGGTGCCATTGCCACCAGTCAGTCCTTACCATAATGCATCTCTTCCCCCTTGCAAATGTGTTTGTCCTTCTAAAAGGAATATGTTGGCAAATGTGTTTGTGCTTCTTAAAAGGGTGCGTTTGCAGCTGAGTCCACATAGGAATCCTATGAAATCCTCATGGTGTGCTTCCCCTTCTAGCCCTGCGGATCTGAGCAGCACGTTCACCTCCCACTGCTGGAGGACCAGCCTCGCATATCTGATGTGATCACAGATGGCCCTGGCCCTGCCCCTCGGGTATGAAATACAGACAGCAGGCAGCAGGACTCAACAGGTCAGTGTCTGAGTTTCAACCGGGATGTTTTACTGTATTTTCTTTCAAGGGAATTTCCAACTATGGGTGAAGTTTGGTCAGTTTTACAGTTTTTATTTCCCTGGTGAACCCAGGGAGGCTGGGCCAAAGGGATGATTATTTTCATTAGCTCCTCTAAGAGCCTTGGGCTAGACTTCCTGGTATTTCAGTACTATGAGATGCAGATAATGAAAAATTCACCAACAGTCTTGAGTACACCATCCACCTCCTGAAAAGCTACTGGAAGTGGGTTCCCACTGCAAAGGCTGGATATGCTTTCAGGCTCTGAACCTCCCTCTGTCCCCAAGGACAGCAGCACTAGGCATGCCTTTGAGGACAACCATAGAACCACTCTGGTCTCTTCTAATGCTGACAAAACCTGTAAGTCTTTATTCCCCTCTGAGGTTGCTGGAAGCTTTTTCAGAAAAAAAAATAAAGGGAGGTTTAATTTTTTAGAGCTATTATGAGGGTAACACATGTAAGTGGTTACCAGATTTGTTCACACTCACCAGTCTCTCCTTGCTACCTGGACTCAGCCAACCCCTTCGTCCCTGCAGTCTCTCAGCCCATCTTTGCAAGTGAGACAGAGCCCAAATCTTTGCACACTCACCAAGGGGTCAAAATTACTGCACCCCTTGCAACAGAGAGCAAACTGCATCTGCAGAGCCATTCCCAGCCAGCAGCTCTCCCCTAGCACTGTGTCTCACTTGCCTGTGGCAGGGGTCACAGTCCCTCCCTGCACGTATCAAACAGGGACAGGCTCTGATGCTGAGGTTATCTTTCCAGCTGGTTACTGCACACACTTGGTGTGCCCTTGCAAGGAGGTCTATTACAGTCTCATTGTGGTCTCATTTCTATTGCCTCTCTCTAGACCATCCAACAGGGTTTTTAAAGAGCTGTGTAATTCCATGGTCATAGCTCAACTTGACCTGCAAGCTGTTGTGCATGATCTAACTTCATTTCAGCCTCCTTCACTGCAATGAATTTCTCCTCCTGGTTTACTCTGCCCTAAATGAGGGCAGAATGAAGCCCAGCATGTGCACACACCCAGGCTTTCTTTATCGTTCCCAAGGGCTCCTCCTTGAGCTGTCCTCTTTTTTCTTAACGTTAAGTGTTTGGGGGCTGAAGAGAAGCAGGGAATGAGTGTTGTCAGTGGGAATCCAGCTCTCAGCCTGGCTCTCTAATTTGGCAGGTGGCTTTTGAGTAGATCTCGAGTGTTTTACAGAGCTGGGTGAAGAGCATTACTGCTATTTCAAAACTGGGGCAACATAAGCTCAGGGCTGGTTCTGCCTGTGATTACAGAGCCTGGGGGATAGAGGATGCAGTAAGAGAACTTTGCACTCCTGCTTTCCAAAAACATGGCGAGAGTAGTAGAAAATGATGTCCTCCTTCTATAGAAATTTATTGCTTGAGGTAGAATTAGTCAGAACTATTATTGCTTTCAGTAAAAGTCTGCAGGGCCGGGGGGTAGCCAAACAAAATATTCAAAATGAAGAAGAGGTGTATTTTAAGGCCATGAAACTTTGCCGTGCTTACGAAGCACTGACCGTGCTGAGAAAAGTCATCAGGAAACTCCCGAGCCTGCCAGCACATCAGCGACTCTTCCCTTCCCCTCGGGGAGTTTTAAAGCCGTGACGGGAGCTCGGCAGGGAAGTGCGCACTCCCGAGCGCTGGCAGGGAGCGGACGCGGCACCGGGCGAGGAAACCCCCCCCGCCCCAGCCCCGCACCCCCGGCCCCCGCCCCGCGGCGGGGCTGGACGGGGCGAGCCCAGCGGGGCACTCGGGGGGCGAAGTTCCCCTTCCCGCGGCTGAGCCGCCTCGTGTCACTTCCTGCCGGCGGCGGGAGCGGAGCGGGGGCCCCGGGAGCGGAGCGGGGCGGGGCGGGAGCGGCGCCCGGGGCGGCGGGGCCGCGGGGCTCGGCGGGGCTCGGCCGGCCCTGGCCGCGGGCGCTGCGCCGCCCGGCCGCGGCCGAGGATGCGGCGGAGCCTGGCGGCGCGGCTGGCGCTGGCCGCCGGCCTCGGCTCGTTCCTGCTCGTCCTCTTCTACTTCCAGAGCAGCCTCAGCCCAGGTGGGTCCGGGGGCGCCGCGCTCTCGGCGGGACTCCCGGCGGGTGCAGCGGAGGGTGCAGGGGAGGGTGCGGGCGGAGCGGGGCCGGGGAGCCCCGCACGGCGGGCAGCGCTTTGCTCCTGGAAGCCTTCGGGGGTCGGCGAGAGGCGGCCGGTCCGCCGGCGGGTTGAAGTTGGGGTGAACTCGCCGGGGGTTGCACATCCCTCGGCTGGGACCATTGAACTTCGCCGCTGCGCTCGCCCGCAGCGTGTGAGCGGCGGTACCGTCCCGGCGATGCTGTTCCGCAGCGAAACTCCCGTGTCATTTTCTCAAGCTGCCTTCTTTCGGGGGGATGTCCCATTCCGTGCCCCTGCGGGGCATGAAACTGCTCGGCTTCGTGCAGCCCTGCCGAGGCTGTGCCGGGGTTGGGACGGGAAAGGGGAGCTACCCCGTCCCACAAGTGCCCACTTACACCCGCGGTCACTGAAATTCCTTGGGAATCGGTTAGAATGGCTCAAGGGACTTCTCTAGCGTCCGCTCTTAAAAATTTCTTCCACAATGGGAAACAATTCAGAACTAAAATATAAACAGTTTTGTACTGGAGGGGTAATTTATTTCCCTGCCCGATTTTTGCTCTTTTGGGGAAATTAGCTCCTCTTTCCTTAGAGACGTTGTTGGGTAATTCCTGCCGTTTTAACAATGTACTAATGTTTCCTGAGTACAGCAGCAATCCATCAATGGGGCCTTTAAAGTTGCATCTTAAAATTCAGAAGACTGATTTGACTGAAACGTTAATGGAATTTTATCAGTGTGGACTAAATGAAATGTGATTTTTCCTTTTATAGGGGCTGCTCCATCACTTTAATGTGTTTTTTTCACTAAGAATAAAAAAAAGACATAACTTGTTGGCTGAGCAAGATTGAAAAGGAGTTGGGTTTCAGCAAGCATTTGTTATTTCTAGATGAGCATGTGAAGTTTGTCAAATGAATTCAGAAATCCCAGAAGACTGCAATCAGTATTGTATTCCTTAGTAACTTATTTTAGAAGAAATAATTTATGCATCTTAATTTTATGTTGGAACTGCTCAGTAAAAAGTGCAGTGCTGAAGCAGCTTTAACCTTCAGGGCTCCTAATGGAGAGATGATTGTGTTTTATACTGGATACTCTTTCTAGCATCTGACTGGAAAATGTGGGTCTTTTCAGGACTGTTTTTCAAAAAGGGACTTCTGCAGGTCTACGTCAGCAGAACTTTCTGTGCTGAGTTGATTTTAATCCTTTGCCTGATCTCAACTCTGTTTCACAGAGTTCCCGTGAGGAAAGTTGGGTGAGTCAGCAGTGCCCTGAGCAGCCAGGAGGGCCAAACGTGTCCTGGGGGGCATCAGGCCAAGCATCTCCAGCCGGGCAAGGGAGGGGATTGTCCTGCTCTGCTCTGCGCTGGGGCAGCCTCACCTTGAACACTGTGGCAGTTTTGTGCACCACAGTGTAAGGAAGATATTAACTCTTAGAGAATGTTCAAAGGAGGGCAATGGGGAAGCCATGAGAGGGGACTGAGGGGAGACCTCATTGCAGTTACAACTTCCTCATGACGGTAAGAGGAGGGGCAGGCACTGATCTCTCTGTGGTGACCAGTGACAGGATCTGAGGGAATGGCCTGAAGTTGTGTCAGGGGAGGTTTAGATTGGATATTAGAAAAAGTTCTTCCCCCAGAGGGTGGTCAGGCACTGGAACAGGCTCCCCAGGGCAGTGGTCACAGCGCCAAGGCTGACAGAGTTCAAGAAGCGTTTGGATGATGCTCTCGGGCATATGGTGTGACTCTTGGGGATGGTCCTGTGCAGGGCTAAGGGTTGGACTTGATGATCCTTGTGGGTCCCTTCCAACTCAGCATATTCCATGAAAGGAAAGTCTGTGAAAGGTAGAGAAAACCAGGTGACAGTAATGGTGATGGCATCTCACAAGGGGTTTGAGGGATTTTGGGTCTGGAGTGCTCCCTTGAGAAGTGCTGGATAGCTGGGGCTTTAGGAATTGCAATACCCTGCAAATCTGTTCCTTCATATGGGGCAAGTGTGATTTTTGAAACTTGTAGATGGTGATAGATCTGGGATAGGGATCCCCAGCTACTGGAACCATGTAGTGGGAGCCCATTTGTGAGGGTGGTGATTTGCCCCTTAAGGTTCACAAAAGAGGTGAGTTTAAGTGATATTCATGTTCTCTAAAATCTGCTTAGTTTCTAGCCACATAGTTTTCTCCCTGGGTCCAGCCTTCATTTTTGTGCCATTTCTTTCCCTTATTATCTCTCAGTTTACAGTTTTTCCTTTCCTGTTCAGTTCAGTGAAAAACTCACACTAGCAGAGGAAAGGTCATTACCATGTATAGAAAAGAAGCAAGCTAAAGGTTGTTTCAATTTCTTTTTATCCCAAAGGAAAGCAAACCGAGGCCAATTACTTGAATTTTAGAAGTTACAAGTTACAATAATAGGTAAACAATTTGCAAACAAAAGTGTCATCTTTGAAGTGATAGTTGCCTTGAGATTATTTGGAGTTCTAGTTGTCTGGTGTCATTTGGTTTCCATATAATAATGAAGAAATATGGTAGAAAAAATCAGCAATGCTGTGAGTTTCCCCCAGGAGCAGTCAGATCTTTTCTCCATCATTAGCAGGATTGAGGAGGTTGCCTTTCCTGGGCCACCCACAGCCCATTACATGTAATATGCTGAATTAATCCTTGCTAACAGCACATAGAGACCAAACTATCTGGGGACCAGGACAAGGAATACATGGGAAGAAAGATAATGTAATCAGGAACCTTTAAGTTTGGGAGTGCTAATGGCTCACTCAGTGTGGGGAGCAGGAATTAACTCTTCCATTTGCATTGCCCACTTGTAACTCTGTTCGGGCAGTTGCGCACCGGAGTGGTCTGTGCTGAGCTCCGTGGCTGTGCTAAAATAAAGCTTTCTTGTTCTGCCTCAGGAACACCCACACGCCAGGCTGTGCTGAAATAACTCTGCTCCTAAATGCTGCTGAGTTGGTTATTTTGGTGCTGGGCTGAATTTGTTTGTACTGAAGTCGGTGGCAGAATTCCCCGTTGTACCTCCCTGGAGGCAGAAATGGGCTCGGTGTGTTTGCCAACCTCGCTGGCACTCAGGAGAGCTGGGACAAGTCTTGGTGCTCCACAGGGAGAGCAGCCGTGTGTGGGCTTATGTGCTTGAGTGTGCCCTGACTTTGTGGCACTGGTTGCTTTTTGTTGCCTTTCCTTGCCAGTGGCTGTACCAGTGAGCAGACATGGGCTGTAGTCTCTCCCCTGGCCCTGGGGTGCAGCTGTGCCTGTGGACTGTCTCTTGCTCGGTTCAAGTCGGTGATGACCTGTCTGTCCTGTTGACCTTTGGCTGTCTCACTCCAGGCTCACAGACACATGGCCAAGGGCAGGATGTCTGCGTTTCAGGAAGGTATTGAAGTGGTGTCGAGCACGCTGGCCACAGGAGTTTCCAAACACTGCCACAATGTGTAGTTCCAGGGTTTAGGTGGAGCAGTTACCTTGCAGCATCTCCAGCCCTCCTGCATCTGGGCTGGTGGTATGGGCAGGTATGCTCAGCTCCTGGGCAAACCTCATGACATCTCAGCTTGGTTCAGGGAATGATGAGGGCGATCAGGAGGCTTTGGCTGTATTGGTGTCACCCCACAGCAATCCAGGAGATCCCACCTGGCATTGGCATGATTGTCATCTGTCTTCTGAGTTGATCTTCCTCTGCTGTTTCCTTCAGGAATAGTGTACTATTAACTGTGCTGACTTCTGCACACTGTACATTTTCTGCACAGAGGTGAGAATAAGCAATGGGGTTCCCAGAACACTGTTCCATCTCACTCTGGGGGCAGCACATCTAGGCTGGCACAGCAGGAGATAATGGAGGCTGCCGATCCTTGTCTACATCAGAGTTTTGATCACTGCTGTTCTCAGGGGCACCACACAGATTTTAGTGACAGTGGGGGAGCTGGGATGACTCTGCTAGTACAGATGTAGGGTAGAGAGAAGGGGGAACAGCAAAAGGAGGTAGAGGGAGGTGAGTGGCAAGTGCTAAAGCCCTGCGTTCATCTGCATCTGAGATTTCTGCAGACTAGTGCTGTGGGGGCACCTCAATGGTACGTCTTTAGGGAAACCGTGAGTAGGGAAATTGTACTGACATCCAGAGAGCTGGCAGGTTTTCTCCAGTAAGAAAGAAGGAAAGGCCATCAATCTGAAAGCACTCCTTTATTTCTGCTCTGGTTCTGCCCATCTGCAGCATCCAGCTGTTGTTTCTTAGGTCTTTTTAGCAGCATTTGTTTAATGTTGGCTTCTGCACTCCCCGTGTTGTTTCACAACCTGCTGTCAGCATGAGCTGTTGAATATCACGGGGCTTTGTAGGTGAGACATACTCAGCCTTTGGTCTGACTCTTTCACAAGGAGAGATACCAGACTGTAGTAGTGTCAAGGTTGTGATACTGCTCCAAAAAGGATTCAGAGTGAGAAAGCAGTAAGGTCCCTCTCTCCATCCTCATCTGCCCCTGCATCAATCAGTTGACCTCCTCTGGGCACTGATAGAACAAAGCCTTCTGCAGCCTCTCCTGGAGTGGAGGTGCCACTTCACCATCCCAAGAGCCAAGGATTGAGGTGTTACAGGAGGATGAGCAGCAGCAATGCCAGAAGCCACACCAACACATGTAGCAGGTATCAGAGGCTTCAGGAAACTGTCTCGTTGTGTGATTGTTAGCCCTCTGATGTGCCAAAGTGAATAATGGAAGACACTTGCTGCCACCACTCTGCCAGTTTTCAGGTGCTCTCAGTTGCCCAGCCAAACGTCTCTCAGTACCAGCAGGTCCTGGAGAAACTCAATTCTCATGGCTCCAGATCTTGTCTTTCAAGTTTTTTGAGCTGTCATCCAAATCTGTGGTTGCTCTTGTGAAATCTCAGTCAGCTCCATCCTTGTGCCTAAAGATTTTTCTGTTTAGGGGTATACAAATTATTGTAGAGATCATAGACGGATAGAGGTTA